ATATAATTTTACTTTTCCTTGCTTGTGATTGCAAAATGCAATTCTTTGCAAAGTGAATTTTCACCACATTCACTAAGCTAAGGGAAAATTCCCTTGCAAAGTGAACAGCCTATTTGCCTTGTCTGAAAACAGAACACACAAAAAAATGTTGCTAGTGGGCGCTTTTCAGATGGATTAATGTGTGCTCTACCATAGAGGTGAATAAATCCTCTCCTGACTGTGGGGTTGATTTACTAACCTTATAAACACACCACGAACATGTATACACCTCTGTAGTGTGTTCCCTCCCAGCATGATCTATGGGTGGAATCTAAACACCTTTGTAGTGTGTACACACCCAGCAGGTGTGTTGTGCAAAGCCTTTCATGAATTTGCTGGGTGATGTTGTGTAAATTAGCTCTATGTTGTGTTGCTTGCGTTGATGAATGCAGGAATGTAAATGCATGAGCTAACCATTTTTGTCTAAACTGTGAAGCAGCATTATATATGCATCATGTGCATGCTTTTTCCATATATGGCATTAGTGGAAATATGCTTTTAGAGACTTTTTGGTTGATAAATACGTTTTGCTGTGTAAAAATCACACGCACCTGGTGCGTGCGTGTGTTTAGGTTAGTAAATCACCCCCTGTGTGTCTCCATGCAGTGACTGCTCGGCAAATGTGACTGCATGGCACCCATATCAGCTCCTTGTAAGTGCATCTCATGTACTAATGCGTGTCTATGTTGTACAGTTTGTGACAGTGGAATTGGATTATTTGCTAAAATAAGTTTAGAAATGGACAATGTATTCAACAAGTCTAATATGTGCATTTAAATTCAGGTATAAGGTTCCCATAGACATTAGTTGATCAGCTGTCAGTTTTGTCTGGGAAAAGTCATTGATTTTATTGAATAACCTCAGACACACTTCAGGTCATCAGACAATTCTTTGTATTGTTTATAAATAATCAGATCACTGGAAAGCTTTATTGCAATGTGTAATCTGATGATGATGATTATTATTAGTTTTATTACAAATGCTTTTATTATTTATAGTAGTTTAAACAAGAACAGAAAAAAAGTCAATGGTATTGCTGAAATCACACAATGGGGCTGATTTACTAAAGACAAATAGCCTGTTCACTTTGCAGGGGAATTTTCCCTTAGTTTAGTCAATGTGGTGAAATTCACTTTGTAAAGAATACTCAATCATGTGAAAAGAGAATTAGAAAAACATATTTTTGTTTTCTCGTGATTGGATAATTGAAGTCAGCAGAGCTTCACCTCATTCACTAAGCTAAAGGACACTTCCCCTGCACAGTGAACAGCCTATTTGCCTTTAGCAACCCCACTTTGACTTACCATTAAACAATGATCTCATTTGATTTTGTATTCCAGTCCCAAAAATACATAGTGAATATGATATAGCTAATAATAGTGTAGAAATCCAGTTAAAGTGGAAGTAAGGTAAAAAAACAAACAAACTGCTGATCGGCAAGCTTTTTATGACAGAACAGAGTGTGTAAATCTCTTCTGTCATAAAAGCTCTTTTCTTCCATTCAGCAGTTTTTTTTGTCTGTACATGGAGCCCAGTGCACAGACCCAATGTGCTCTTAAGCTGGGTTTACATCATCATGGCCCAACCAATTAATCGGCCAAAGACTTGAAACCTAGAACAAGAGGAAGATGGAAGCACCGGCGAGGGAGGGTGCAGCACTGATGGGGATCGGTTAGGCAGGTAAGTCTGCCATAATGTGCTAATGTCCGTGCATACTAGCACATTATGATTAAAAGCTTCAGAGGGCTTTCTTTTAAAAAAAACAAAAACCTTCCTTCCACTTTAAGGAAGAACTCCGGGCAAATAAAGTCTTAACCCTTGCAGTGTGCCTTCCTCTGCACTGCAAGGGTTAAGTGCTCCTTTTGAGGAGCTAAAATAACAGAGATACTCACCCGAACCACGATCCCGGCTGGTTGCTAGACAGGTCCCTTCAACCTCGTTCTCCCTCTGCTCAGGCAAGGAATGTCCCTCAGTGTCCTTGCATCCTATACACTTTATAGAAAGAACGTGATGACTCACAGGACCTTAGACCGCTGGGGCGGAGGGGGAGACAGGCAGAAGGGATCGGTCTCTCAGCATCCGCACGTCCAATACAGTGTAATGACTCATGGGTCTTTAGACTGCCGGAACGAGGAGAGGAGAATGAGGCTGCAAAGGCCGGTCTAGCAGCCTGCTGGATGTGAGGTTTGGGTGAGTATAACTTTGTTATTTTTGTACCTAGACAAAATGAGCACTTAACCCTTGCAGTGCAGAGATAGCCCCACTGCAAGGGTTAATATTTTATTTGCCCGAAGTTCTTCTTTAACATTATTGGCGTTCATATCTCAAGAAATGTGGAATTTTTAATAATTTATAAATTTATAATAATTTAATAATTCCACCAAGATGTTTGGTTGTATAACTCCAATAAAGCTGATGATGATTGAAATCATAATCAATGTATTTAAACCAAGTGGAAACATGCCTTATCATTGAACCGGTTGGGTATTTATACTGAGAGCTATTGGGTTTCCTAGCGTGTTGATTAATGATAGCAGACAAATAAGAGCACAAAGCCGCTATTACAGCAAAATACTTTCTTAAATAAGGCGCTAAACCCCACAGGGCAACAGAATACAGCGAGACAAACAAGAAACACAACAAAAAGCCACGGACAGCAGAGTGAGTGGCGGGGCCCCTAATAAGATGTATCAGGTGACACTTTTTGCTTTGTAGTGTAGGTGAACAGCCTGCTGTACCCCTTGTGATTCACAGATCGCTCTCCACTGATGTCATTCTCTCTCTCGCTCTTTTTTTCTTCTTCTTGTTTTGCCGCTGAGTGCTGCACTCTGGCTCTAATCTTTCCTTTAATGGAGATTCCAAACTCCTTAGGTACGGCAATGAGATTTGAACAATCTCGAACAGGATTTTTATCACACTGTTCAGCTTCAGTGCAGAGTATCAAGGCAAGCATGGAAAACAAATTGCAGAGGCTACAACTAAGAGAGCACCTTTTAATCTCTCTGTTGTATTTCCGCGAGGTGTGTCGTGTGCGTTTCTTTAACATACGGACCGTATACCTGTGGAGAAAAAAAAACAGCAAACCACACTGGAATGCACATCTTTTTCTAATATGTCACAAAGGTGGAATCA